TGTCTGGTTTAACTTTCGGCTCTCATATGCTACCGGATGTCCTTCTTGTATGAGGACTCCACCAAGGGCAAAATCTGAAGCATCTGTATGAACTTCAAATGGTTTAGCCATATCTGATAAGGCTAAAATCGGGTTCCTCCACATGGACTTCTTCAACCTTTCAAAAGCAGCTTGGCATTGGGATGACCAATCCTAATCCTTATCCTTCTTTGTCAATTCAGTAAGGGGCAGTGCAATTTCTGAGTAGCCTTTCACAAATCTTCGATAGTAATTATATAACCCAAGAAATAAATGTACATCATGTACGGTTTTTGGTGGTTGCCAATCTTTGATGGCTGTAACCTTCTTCGAATCCATGCGAATTTTACCTTGTTCAATGATGTGACCCAAGAAATTGATAGATGTCTGAGCAAATGAGCATTTAGACGGCTTAGCATAAAGTTCATTCTCTCGTAGCCGATTAAAAACTTGCCTCACATGCTGGACATGTTCCTCCAATGTCTCGCTATAGATTACTATGTCATCCAAGTACACCATGACAAAATCATCTAAGAACCCGTGAAGTACCTGATTCATCATAGTACAAAATGTTGCTGGACCATTTGTCAAACCAAAAGGCATCACCTTAAATTCAAAGGCTCCATATCTGGTTACCACCGTAGTCTTTGCTTCGTCTTCCTCCTTAATCCGAACTTGCCAGTATCCGGACCTAAGATCAATTTTTGTGTAATACTTCGCCCGACTCAGTCGATCGAAGCAATCTGCAACTAGTGGGATATGATAGCTATTCTTTACAGTAATCTTGTTCAGGGCCCGATAGTCACAGCACATTCTAAGAGAACCATCAGTCTTTTTCTGAAACAATACAGGAGCTTCGTATGGCGACTTCACAGGCACAATGATTCCACTCTCCAACATTTCCCCCAACTGCTTCCTAAGCTCTTCAAGCTTAGGCTGAGATATATGGTATGGTGCCCTGGCGGGAGCTTTAGCGCCTGGAATAAGTTCGATCTCATGATCAATCGCCCTTCTTGGTGGTAATTTCTTTGGTAATTCTTCCGGCATGATGTCCTCAAATTCTCGAATAAGCCTTTTAACGGGTTTTGGAATAGGACCATTCGCCTCTTCGACCTCCTCTAATCGAAGAGTACACAAAAAGGAGGGTTCACTCCTCTTGAAACCTTTACTAAATTGCATGGCTGAGATACTCTTCTCGCCCATCCTCCTAACCTGTGTAGGGATGACACACGGCTTATTACCCATCATCATTAACGAATCGGAATATGGCAACACTGCTGTCTTAGTATCCCCAAAAAATTCCAATCCTAGAATAAGATTGAAATCATCCATCTGAACTGCAGATAAATTTGTCCTTCCCTCGAAAGGACCTGCTTTGATCAACACCGATTTCGCCACTCCAGCTATTGGTTGAGCAGCGGAGTTGATTGCTTTGACTTTTCCACTACCCTTTTCTAGAACCAGTCCGAGCTGCTCTACTTCGGTACATGCAAGGTAGTTGTGGGTAGCACCAGTATCCACCATAGCCCTGATTGGCTTCCCATTGATTTTTACATCAATGAACATTAAGCCTTTGGCCTACAAATACGAGCCTTCACTTCTTCCATCTTTGCCTCTTTCAATGGGACATCATCGTTTTCAGCAACTTGATGCGATAGTGTGTTGCACCAATGTGAAAATGCCCCAACTACTTCCTCATCCTCTTCAGAGTTAGTCTCATTATGACAATTAGCTTGTGGGACCTCTTGTTTTGAACTTGGCCCGCCACTTGCTAACTGACAATATGCATTCACCATCCGTTTCTGAGGACACTCCGACACCCGATGAGGTCCTTCACATAAAAAGCACTTCAATTTGAGAGTGGCATCAGTTTGGCCCTCCGTTGCTTTTCCTTTGTTCCAGTTGTTACTATTACTGCCGTTCAAATTTCCCTGACGGCTGTTATGATAATTTCCCTGAAAGCCACGGGTGCTTTGATAGGCTCCTTCTCTATTTTGAGAGTAGCACTCTCCCCCATTTGGGTTCGAACTGGGTCTGTAAAATTTGTTACCACATCCAATTGCTTGATTACTCCCCGAAGGTCGATCTTTTCTAGATTCTGTTTGGTAGTCGCTCAAGCATTCAGCGGCTCCCATGGCCGTGCTTAAATCAGTAACCTTCTGTCTTTGAAGTTCCGTGCGTATCCACGGTTTCAACCCTTCCATAAAGGTGAAGAGCTTGTACTTTTCTGACATATCTCGAATATTCAGCATATGCCCTGAGAAGGATTTCACATACTCCCTAATAGAGCTCGTGTGTTTCAGGTCTCGAAGAGCCCGTCGAGCCTGATACTCGACATTTTCCGGGAAAAACTGCGATCTGATCGCTTCCTTGAGGAGATCCCAAGAATCAATTCGAATCCTGTGGGCCTGAATGTCCGCATATTTGGTTCGCCACCATAGTTTTGCATCTCCACCCAGATACATGGTAGCTGTGGTTACCTTTCTAGCTTCATCTTCGATCGAAGCTGCTAGAAAGTACTGTTCCATATCAAATAAGAAGTTTTCGACTTCTTTTGCATCACGTGCCCCTCCGTAGGTACACGATTCAGAAATTCTGAGTCTAGGAGCATACTCGTGTGCGGGAGCTTGCCCATTGCCCACCGCACGTTAGAGTACTCGCAATTGAGCTCTCAACGCTTCCATTTCATCCTGCAGATCAGGAATGATTGCAGCAGCTTTCGTCATTGCTGCGCAAGCTCTTTGGCTTTCATCCAATTGGATGTGTAATCCACGAATCTCAGATTCGGCCATCTTGACTTTTTCCTCGAGACCTTCCATAGCATAGCACAACCTAGTAATTGTCTCATCAAGCGCATCCATGCGCTGTTTCGTAGTACCCTTCTTTTGAGGCTCTACCACTTCAGTGGTGTGTGATGTAATTGGATCCATAGCTTTCTTATCGAGGGTCGTGAGCCGCAGCTCTGATACCATCTTTCACAGGGTGCCTTTCTTCTTGGCACAGAAAGGGACACCGTGCAGCAGTAGTCTGCTCCGCTAGACTACCTTCCACCTTTTCTCGGTCACGTCGGGACGAAAGAAAATTTGATTGCAAATTTGTAGAAAGCTTACAATTGAGAATTTGAATACATTGAAAGTAAATTGAACATTGATTGATGAAAATTGAACATTACAATTGATGAAAGCAGAAAATTACAAATGCTGGTGCAGGGGGCGGACACCAGTGAGCTTGAAAGATTTTTGAATGACTAATACCCTCTATAATAGCATTATGAACAAAAACCTAAGTGACTGGAGTAGACGTTTAAAAGACGAGGAATCATACTAAACGTTTATCAGAGCTATTTTACAATTGAAATGACTATTACAATGAAAAGAAAATTACAACTCAAACTTGAAGTAATATTTACAATGTGCGGTCGAAGTTGGGCAAACTGCGGCTGCGATAGTGTCAAGGGGCTAAGTAAAGCTGTGATCCTTGACACATGGACTTGTTGCATGATCGGGTTCAAAGATATCTGAGGTCATTTAACAGTCCTGGCCGAGTCATACTGAATTTGGAGTCAGGCGAAGCATTGATATTGAATACCAATCGCTACAATATGCTGGTACGGAGTACGTGGTGCCCGACTATATGCTCGAGTGGACCATATGGATGTGGCCACGTGCCGGGGGAAGACGTGGGAAGGTTGTACGCATATGTACATACCAATAATCTTGAATCAGCACTGCATAACTTTGGAGATTGTGTGTGCTGAGTCTACTCTATATGTGTACGACCTCAATCATTCATGTCTAACACAAGGTCGGCTCTAGCAAAATCTAGAATCCATTGCTATTTTAATCCCTATTATGGCTAGACAGACGGGCTTGACTATGAATAACATATTAGCTATAGTGCGGGACACGACCACAACGAGGCAAACAATATTGTCAGTGGTTCTATATTTTTTAAATTTAAACTTACTTTTTCTGTACGTAAAGATCTAACTCATTATTATTCAATTGCAAGGGCGATTGCGACATGTTTGCAATAAAGTATATTGAGTTTTTGAATATAGAATATAAAGTTGATGGAATCAACCAATCCTGAATGCAAACTTGGAGAAATAAGTTAGCGTGCAATTTGTACAACTTTAATTATGATCCGTAAATATTGTAAATATTTGATTTTTTTTAATTACGAAATGTTTGTAAACACTGTGAATATTAATTTGTACCTTGTGAATGAATGTAATTGTATATTATTTTCTGTATTTAAATGCTTTATCTACGATATTAATAATCTATTAATATTATTTATTTAAGTAAATAATAATTGATTAAATAAATTAGAATCAATTAGTTTCATACATGGTGAATCTTAATTACACAATTATTATTCATAATCAACTAAAAATAAATATTACATAAATAAATTGTATTACACATCTGTTGATCGTTATGCAACGAAATCTGGCTTGTACAAAATTGTTGTGTATGTCCGGTTGCGCAACACCTATCGTACTTACGAGGTCGGGAAAATTCTCCAGTAGACGGTATTCTAGACGTACGTCTACATCCAGAGGTATCTGGTCCGACTTCTGGTGGCAATAAATTATTCAGTGACAGAATGTGGTCGGGAACTTCTCACTCGGCTTCGTTTGGTATAGGGAATATTGTTTCGGCATACGATACTCTCCAACAATCAGTCGTATAATAAACATTGCACAAGATGAGTGGTGGGAATCCTCTATGCATAGGCACTGCCACTGCATGTGCACATAAAAAGCTCTCTAACTGAGATTGTCTACACGTGCATGTGCTACCATTCAAGTCCACAATGTATCCGAAATTACGTGCTCATTTCACAGAGAAGCAAAACTGATCTAGTGGTTCTATGTATACCTTTCTCGTCACATCTAGAGTCTTGAAGAGTTTATCTTCAAGAGCCGGGGTGAGCACACTTGTACAACTCTGTGATTCGTCACGCCGATCATTAAATCACTGTTGAAGCTTGTCACGAATGTTCTCAATCATCGCGAAAATTGGTAACTCCCGATTCTTCTTGAATAAAGTATTGAGTGACTCCGCATTGTTCGACTCATCATGTTGTATCGACATCCTGAAAAATATAATATTGCCCAATGTTTGATCCCCATGCCTGTTAGATACTCTCATGTAGCATGTGATTTATTGTCTATTCGACCATGAACTTCTCAAACTCTTCAAAACTATAGGCCTCTGTAGCTCTCTTGAATAACACAACAATGCCCTTACCTCGATACCTGGTCTTCAGGTTTCCCCGTATATGGTACATACAATAATCATGATGTGCCTCAGAGAAGACTTCGGTGATACCATTTATTATTGACTGCTCTCGATCGGTTACGAATGCAAGGTTCTTGATGTCCCCAATTATTTCCTTCAACTTCGTGAAGAACCAATGCATCGCTCGGTCATTCTCTCCATCGACTATGCCGAATGCAAGAGGGTAAATTTGAATGTTGGTATCTTGACGTGTTGCAATAATCAACTTGCCCTTGTATTTAGTCTTAAGGGTTGTACCGTCGACTAAAATTAGAGGTCGCATCGCATTTCGAAATCCTCGAACGCATTGTCTAAGAGTCATGAAGAAATACTTGAAGCGATTCTCATCGTTCCTCTCAATAAAAAAAGCCAATCCAGTATTAGTTTTACCTATTTTATAGCAATACCTGGCAAATATAAATAAACAATAATCAAAATAAGTAATCAAATATAAAATAAACAAAAAAAATTAATTAAAAAATTAATTAACAATAAAAATAAATATTAAAAAATCAATTGAACAATAAAATACCTGGCCAATTTAGCATAACTCTCCTTGACCGAACCCATTAAGTCGTCCAATGTGCATTCTTTGGCTTTCCAAGCCTTCTGATAACTCATGACCAACCTCGTATTCTGGACAGATATCATTAATGATGTCCGAAGGTCTGTAGATCGTTCGTGGGTCCTGAAACTTGTCCATTATTTCTCGACGAATGAACCATGCTCGGGCTTGCCTGTGATCATTTCGTCAAATACCCACGTCGCAAGTATGTTCCCATGCATACTTACGAATTATAAAGAACTCGCTTGTGTCCATCTTCGTCACTCGCAAATGCCAATGACAACTTTCGTCAATGCAGACAATTGTGTATGTCGACTTGTTCGATTTTTTAACTTTAAACTTAAAGTTGTGTTTCAAAATAATCCGGTGCACAACTTCTTGCAAATCTTTCTTTGTTTTGAACAGTTGCTCGACATATAAATCTTCGTTATCAAGAATTAACCGCGAACAATTAATGGACCGTGTACTCGGTCCAGCCTGTGAGCTCTTACCTGACTCACGTCTCCAGAGGGATAGAGCATTCAAATCCTCATTTGTAAATGTATTTTCATTCTCGTTGTCTTCAACTGTCGAGAGAATTCTGTGCGTAACAGTGAGATCATTCACTATATCGGGAACAACTGTATTGAGAATAACCACATTGTCCTCATTAGCTATCTCTACCGTCTCCCAAAAATCATTCACATTACGATCCCCTCCATTGAAATCTTCATGCTCACCCTCGGGGACGTTCTTCTCTACCAAAGTTACACAAATAGGAATCGAACATTTCTGGTTTAATTCAATTAAAATCTACATTTCAGCTTCAAAAGTAACCGTTACAGGTGGAATTTTCTTGCCGAATGAAATCCCAATTCCATGTTGAATTGAGAGGGATCGATGTTGAGCGAGTTCTGTGACTTATTGTACATTTTCGCATAAGATATACTTAATGCTATCAGAATTACAGTAGAACTGCGTCTTTTACTCGTTCATTTCCACACCCATCGATTTTTTTCTTCATTTCAAATTCACCAAAGAAACAAATCGGGACTGTAGTCGTGCCATATCTGCATTAGTAAACGACAATTTATTAAAAAATTGTTAATACATGGAAAAAAGAAGTAAAAAATTGAAAACAACGGTGTCGATTTCGTTTTCGATTTTTTAGATGAATTTTTTTCATCGTTCTTGCTAAAAAAATTATAAATTCATTTAAGACTGTAAAAATTTATTTGTCTATGTCGAAATAAGATTTAGAGATTCAAACAATATACTGATTTAGCTATAATAAAATTAAAAATACGTAAAATATACTTAACAATTTCGAGTGATGGTTGTGAATAATATTTTCTTGTTGAACTTTTGATAATTTTGTGAGATCCCAATGTTGAAGCAGATGAAAATTGAATTTTCTTTTTATCTGTGTATTGCAGAAACTGATGAGGAAACTGACTTGGTTTTGAAATTTACGTGTGAGTGTTTGTAATTTATTTGTTATTTACCAAGGGGTACCATTGTCTTTTTAACAACCATATATTTTTGTAAATACAAAATATAAAAAGGGTAAAATTGTCATTTTATTCATTTCAAAGGGCCATTATGGTGAATGTGAAAAATGAATTGGTCAATGTGACAAAGTGGTTATTTGACTTGGTTAATCTTAAAAGTACCCCCCAAATTTACCTTCATCTTCGACATCCATGTGCACGCCTTCTCTAATGCAATCACAAAACTTGCAACTCGCAAGTCAAATTTTGGGGCGCCGTCGATGGATGTTCGAAGTTGATTTCGGGGTTAGGGTTTTGCTTTGCGATTTGGGTTGTGGTTCAGCCTTCTCGCTTTTTCAGTATCTCTATGTAGGATTTTTGGGTTCAATATGCAGCAAGGTTCAAAATTTATTTGGAGTTAAGGTTTGGGTTTGCGATTTGGGTTGTGGTTCGTCGTTCTAGCGTTTTCAGCTTCTGTATGACGGATGTTAGGTTTAATTTGCAAAAAGGTTCGAAATTGATTTGGGGTTTAGGGTTTGGCTTTGTAGTTTGGGTTGAATCTCATCGTTCTCGCGTTTTCATTCTGTGTGTGCAAGTTTTTCTTCCTAATACGAGTTTAATGTTATATGGCTATAGGCTTGTTTGGATGATTTGACATTTCACTTAAAATGTGGACAATTTTAACTGCCACTTCACATTTCCGTCATTCACGTAGACACAACCAAAAAGGGTATTCGTCCAGTGGCCATTTTAGTGTAATGGATATAAGGGCATCTCCAATGATTGCACCATTGCACCATTTTTTGGTGCAAAGTTGCTCCAATACAACACCAAACTTTGCACCATTTTGGTGCAAAATGGTGCAAAGTATAAAATGTCTCTTTTGCCCTTATTTAACATTTTTCAAATAATTTGTTAAGGATATTTATGTCATTTATGCTATATATTTTTCAATACAATAAATTATTATTATTTTTATTAATATTAATGTTATTTGCATTTAAAATAAATTTTAAATGTAAGACATAATAATTAAAAAATTAATTAAAAGATGAAAACAATTTAAAATACAACAAATACGATTATTTGTTAAAATTAATACGAAATATATTAAACGACGGCATACATATGATAATCTAATTTGATTTCATATTTTCGTTGTTGTAGTGTTTTATTAATTGTTCCATGTTTTTTATATTTATTAATGAATTTAATATTTTTCATAATTTAACGTAATTATTTATTTAGTAATTTATGTATTTATAAAATAATTAAATAAATAATATTTCAAATAAATAAATTGTAAATAATAAAAAAAAGGAAGAAAATGGTTAAATACTGTTCATTTGGTATAATTTTTCTTATAATAATTGAAGATAAATTTTAATTTGATGTAAAATAATACAAAATTTGGTGCAGTGTTGAAGATGCTACCATTGGGAAGCTTAGTGAATTTCAGTGGATGAATCTTGATGAAGTGTAAATTAGAGTAGCTAATGAAACATTTAGGCCTTGACAAAAAATCCCTAACTTCGCTTTAAAAAATCCTTGAATCAAAGCTAGGATTTTGCTGCTTGTTTATTCTTAATTCATTCAACCGCTGAAACCAAACAAGATTTTTCTCGTAATTCATTAATACGCAATCCTTATCCGCTGCGATGCTGGCAGTCCACCGCAGATTCGTCCGCCAAAAACTATGCCAAAGAATTCAAGTCGGCTGAAGCCCTGGTGTATCCTGATTCAAAACCGAAATCCATTCCCCCATTCCCAATCAATGGCGTCCCAATAAAAATCTCAAAAGCCTACCCAATCTTCCCTCCCCAAAGTCTGAGGGCGAAAATACTCTCCAGTTTGAGGTTGTGCCTGATGGGAATCCTGATTCTTCTGATAATCCGGTGGCTTACGAACTCAATCTTCGTAAATCGTCTTGTGTTAATGGTGGTTCTGCAGATGATCGCCGTGAAGAATCAAATATGCCAATTTCGGACTTGGAGTTGAGGAATTTGAGGAAGGATTTGGAGAAGTTACCTGAGGATACGGGGATTGATGAATATACGGATATGCCCGTGGAGGGCTTCGGTGCAGCATTGCTATCAGGGTATGGGTGGATTAAGGACCGGGCATTGGTCGCAATGCCAAGGAGGATACTAAGATTCTCGAGGCTAAAAAAGAGCTGGTAGAGGAGGGTTAGGTGATGAGGGGGAATTACCAGACAATCAAAATGGTAATAACAGTAATGCTGGTGAAGCTTTTGGGAGTAGAGATGTCAGGCAGAATAAGAGGGAGGATGGGGAGGGAAAGAAAGGGTTTGACGTTGGGAAAGAGGTGAGGATAGTGAAAGGGAGCGAGTTGGGGATGAATGATAACATTGTTTATGTGAGAAATGGTGGAGATTTATTGATTTTGAGGATGTCAAGGAGTGAGGAAAAGGTGAAGGTGCGTCTTAAGGATGTGGTGGAGGTGGGTTCTGCGGAGGAGGAGAAGTGCTTAAGGAAATTAAAGGAGTTAAAGATTGAAGAGAAAAAAAGTAGTAACAATAAGAGCAATAAATGTTCTTCAAGCAAAATGAGTCGAGAAGAAGAAAGAATAGGAAGTGAGAGAGTGAATTGGTTAACAAATCATATTAGGGTGAGAATAGTAATTGAGACATTGAAGGGTGGGAGATTGTACTTGCAAAAGGGAGTGGTGACAGATGTGGTGGGGCCTGGGGTTTGTGATATATCAATGGATGAGAGTGGGGAGTTGGTACAAGGGGTGTACCAGGACTTATTGGAGACTGCGGTTCCAAAACGTGGAGGCAAAGTACTAGTTTTGTATGGTAGGCACAAGGGCTTGTATGGGAGTTTGCTGGAGCGAGATTTGGAGGAGATAGGTTTAGTTCAGGATGTGGACACACAGGAGTTTCTCAATGTTCAGCTTGAACAAATTGCAGAATATATTGGAGATCTGAACCATATTGGATATTGAATTGGTTCTACTCATTTTGAAGAGTTAGATTGCTTGCATGATAGTAACGCCGTTCCATTTTTGAGGTAATACAAGTCTTTTGCCTTGTTGAGCAGTATATAACAGAATGATATCTGTGATAATTTTGCAAGTTGCCATATCATTTCTTAATCAAGCATAGTTGCTGAAGGTTCTTTTGTCAAATTATAAATCTGTTTCTGAGCTTTTATAATTTGATGAAAAATTTATCTCATTGCGGTATGTGTTCACCTGAGTGGTTTATTATGCTGCTCTGTGTTTGGCTATATGTTATGCCCTCCTAAGTTTGTATTTTATTTTATTCTTTTGGCATTATTAATTACTCCATCCATTTATTGTTTTAAAAAGCATTGTAATATAAATGAGGAAAATGTGTCCTAGCCCTAGGTGTCTCATGGCTATCTTTTGCATGCATATTCAAATATGATTATGGGATCATATCTCAGTTTTGGCAGAATTATTGAATTGATTTCTTGATGTTTTCCATAATTGCATAAAGAGTACTAGATAAAGAGATGGAGAAAATAACATAAGTATATTTCAAAATGGGTAATTGTGTTTGAGAGGAAATTGGTAAAGATGAGAACGGGGATACAGATAAGTAAATGGTGATAAATTGAGCGAGTTGAAACAATTTTTGATGTGTCCATGTATGGGGCATGTCTCATTTGGTTTGCTAAGCTT